GACCCTCGCGGCGAGGCGGGCACGGCGGGGTCAGCGGCGCATTCCTGCTCCCGCGGGGCGATCCGGTTACCGGCCGGCCCAGCCCCGGCCCCGGCCCCGGCCCCGCCATTAATCTTCCCGGGTGCCCTTTGGAATTTGCCGCCCGAGGCCCCGGGGGAGGTGTGGGGGTACGGGGGGGGTGGAGGAAGAACGGGAGGATGGATGAGGATGAGGATGATGAGGATGAGGATGGAACGGACACGGGAGGGAGCAGACCCCGGTTCACCCCTCCAGGAGCACCCCCTTGTCGCGCTGGGCTCCCGCACTTCTCCCCAGCCCCGGTCCCACGGTGGGAGCCCGGTGGCACCGGGGGAGCGGCGGGATGATGGCGGCACGGCCCCTCCCTCCGGCAGACGGAGACGCGGCGTTGCAATAACGCCCCCAAATTGTTTTAGGGATCAGGGGACTGGTGGGCGACAACCGCGGCAGAACATCCCCCCCCCCCGCCCGGTTGGAGACGGGCTCTGGGGACAGTCCCCGCCGTGGGACACCGGTATCGACACCGGCACGGCCGTGACAGGGACTCAGACCCGCGTGGTACAACCGGGACTCCCGGTACCGGGATCTGAGCGGGGTTTGGGGGTTTGAGCAGCTCCCGGGGCGCCGGTTGTACCCCTGGCAATGGGGAGGGGACCGGGAGCGCCGTCCCGCCGGTAACGGAGCCGCCGGCCCCGTGGGATGAAGGGTTTCCTGCGAGGGAAAGACAATAAACCCCAGGAAATGCTGGGAATAGCGGAGGGAACGGCCGTGGAAGGTGGGACAGCGAGGGAAAGACAATAAACCCCAGGAAATGCTGGGAATAGCGGAGGGAACGGCCGTTCCAGGGCCCGGACGGAAGGCTCGGGGCGCTGGGGGCAGCCAGGCAGGAGTGGAGGGACCGTCCTAAGCCCTGGCACCCACCCCATGGCATTGACACCCACCGCATGGCACTGACACCCACCCCATGGCACTGACACCCACCCCGTGGCACTGAAACCCACACCGTGGCACTGACACCCACCCCGTGGCACTGACACCCACCCCATGGCATTGGCACCCACACCGTGGCACTGACACCCACCCCGTGGCACTGACACCCACCCCATGGCACTGACACCCACACCGTGGCACTCACACCCACTTTGTGGCACCAGGACCCACACGGTGGCACTGGCACCATGCACCATGGCACCCTTGCTGTGGCACCCACGCCACGGCACCAGCACCCACGTCGGGGCTGCAGTGCCCAAACCCAAACCAGCTGGCACCCCCAAGAGCACCCACACCTGCCCTCTGTGCCCATCTGCACCCCATGTGTGCGTCCACTGTGCACTCCATGTCACATCCCATGTCACGTCCCATATCCCATCCCATATCCCATATCCCATCCCATATCTCATCCCATGTGCCATCTTCCTGTCCCATATCCCATCCCCTATCCCATCCCATGTCCCATCCCATATCCCATCCCATGTCCCATCCCCTATCCTGTCCCATGGCCCGTCCCATATCCCATCCTGCGTTCCATCTCATATCCCATCCCACATCCTGTCCCATCTTCCCGTCCCATGTCCCACCCCATATCCCATCCTATATCCCATCCCATATCCCATGCCATATCCTGTCCCATATCCCATCCTATATCCCATGCCATATCCTGTCCCATATCCCATCCCGTGTTCCATCCCATGTCCCATCCCATATCCCATCTGATGTCCCACCCCATATCCCATCTGATGTCCCATCCCCTATCCCATCCCATATCCCATATCCCATCCCATATCTCATCCCATATCCCATATCGCATCTTCTATCCCATCCCATCCCGTATCCCATTTGATGTCCCATCCCCTATCCCATCCCATACCCCATATCCCATATCCCATCCCCTATCGCATCCCATATCCCATCCCATATCCCATATCCCATACCCCATATCCCATACCCCATCCCCCATATCCCATCCCCTATCCCATATCCCATCCCCTATCCCATATCCCATATCCCATCCCCTATCCCATATCCCATCCCCTATCCCATATCCCATATCCCATACCCCATCCCCCATATCCCATCCCCTATCCCATATCCCATCCCCTATCCCATATCCCATATCCCATATCCCATATCCCATATCCCATATCCCATCCCCTATCCCTCCCCATGTCCCACCCGTGTCCGTGGCACACCCACGGGCACCGGAGCCCCCTCCCCGCGTTCCCCCGCACCGGTGCCAACGGGGCTGCCGGTGCCTGGTGGCAGGGGTGGCTCGGCTCCCGTTACCGGCGCGGCCGCTCCGAGCACTCCCGGGGTTCCTCCCGGTGCTGCGGGGCCGGTGGGGTCCCGGGGGCGGCACTTTCCCAGGCTCTGCCATGACCCCGCTGCCCGCAGGAAGGTGCCCCCCTTGCCAGGCCGGCGGGCATCCCGGTGCCAGTGCCGGTGCCCACATCCTCAGGAAACGGGCAGGAAACACGGGGGTGAGAGGGCACAGGGTGGGGTGGGCACGGGAGGGCTCAGCGTGGGCATGTCAGAGCCCCCCGGTGTCATTTAGAGCCGCCCCGGTGGTGACAGGAATTAAATCGGATTTTCTCATCAGCCTCATCCCGGCGCTTCGGGACAGGGAACGTGTCTGATCTCGGGATGGGTGGGGCGGCTCGTTCCTGTCGCGACAGCTCATTCCTGTCGCGACAGCAGCGTGCCCGTGTCGCAGGACACGGAGGGGATGGGGTGGGCACCGCAGGGATGGATGGTGCCCATCCCGTGCCATCCCATCCCATTAATCCCATCCCATCAATCCCATCCCATCCCATCCCATCCCATCCCATCCCATCCCATCCCATCCCATCCCATCCCATCCCATCCCATCCCATCCCATCCCATCCCATCCCATGCCATCCCATGCCATCCCATGCCATTAATCCCATCCCATCCCATCAATCCCATCCCATGCCATCCCATCCCATCCCATCCCATTAATCCCATCCCATGCCATCCCATCCCATGCCATCCCATCAATCCCATCCCATTAATCCCATCCCATCCCATCAATTCCATCCCATCCCATCCCATTAATCCCATCCCATCCCATCAATCCCATGCCATGCCATGCCATGCCATGCCATGCCATGCCATGCCATGCCATGCCATGCCATTAACCCCATCCCTGGGGGTGCCGTGGGGTGCTGGGAGGTCAGGATGTGGGGCAATACTGGTGCCCACCCAGCCCATCCCGGTGCCCACCCACCCCATCGCGGGCACCCTTCACCTCTCACCCCAAAACCAAGCCCTGGGACCCTCCAGGCTGGGGGTGCCACCATCCCCAGTGGGTCCCCAATAGCCAAGGAGCTCTTAAGGGTCCTGTCCCCCCTGGTCGCTGGGGACCCCCCGGCAGCCCCCCAGGTTAAAGACAGGGGGACGACGGGGGCTCAGGTTTCCCTCTCTGCCCGCCTGGAGCCGGGGGACATTAACCCCCTCAGAGCATGACGGGCTGGGGGGACATCAAAGCGCCTCCAGCCCGACCGCGCCTCGGGGGTACGGGAACATCCCCCCAGTACCTGCCCCTGCCCCCCTGGATCCCCCAAGCCTCATCTCCCCCCTCTCCGGGGCAGCCCCCGTGGGCGCTGGGGCCAGGCCGTGGGCGGGGGGCTCATTTACCAACGTCAGCCCCGCAGTTGGTTTGAATTAGGCTCCTCCGGGGCTGGCGCTGATAAGGGAGGGGGTGCACGGCTTGGGGGGCTCCGGGGGGCTTCCTGCTCTGTCTGTAACTGGCTGCCAGAACCGCTGCTGACAGACACAGGGACAGCCCCCGCCATCCCTCCATCCATCTGTTCCTCCGTCCATCCGTCCACCCACACGCAGCCCTCGTTTGGACCCCGTCCTGCACCCCCAGCCCTCTTTGGGGTCCCCATCCTGCCCCTCCACTCCTCCGGCCTTGCTTGTCACTCCCGCACTGCACCCACAGCGCTCTGGTGCCAGTCGGGATCTCTGTCCCACCCCTCCAGCCCTGCATCCTGATTTAGAATACCCCACCCATCCTTCTGATCCCATTTGGGACCCCAGTCTTACCCCCCAATCCCCGTGGCCTTGTTTAGAACACCCATCCTGCTCCCCCACACCTCCAGCCCTGTCTGGGACCTGCCCCAAACCCTCTGGCCCTGTTTGAGCCCTACTGAGCCCCCCATTTGCTCCTCTAATCCTATTTGGGACCCCCCCATTCCACAACCCTGCTCCAGCCTCATTTGGAACCCCCATTCTGCCCGCCCACCCATCCAGCCCCGATTGGGACCCCCATACCCGAATGGCCTCGCAGCCCCCGGGTTTCCCTTCGTCCCTGCCCGGTGAGCGATGACCGACAGCTGGGCCGGGCCGGGCCGTAACCGGATCCCCCGGCAGCGGCGGCGGCGGCGCGGGGCACCGGGGATGAAGGATGGGTCACGGTGCACCCGGTGCCGCACCCATCCCGGTGGGTCCCGGACCGTGCCCACCACAGCTCGGCCCCCGACAGCCGCCCGGTACAGCCCGGTACCGGCACCGCGGAGCTTCGAGCCCCGTGCCGCAGCCAGGGCCCCTCCGGAGCCGCGTTCCCGGGATCACCGGGATCATCACCGGGATCCGGCACCTGTTCCTCCCGCAGCCGTGGGTCCCAGCCGCACCCCGGGGACCCCCGGGACCCCCCGCCCGCAGCTGTGCCCGCGAGGATCCAGATGGCGGAATATTGTCCCGGGCTAATTAGGGCCGCGCGGGGCGGGGGCGCTGCGAGCAATCAAAGGGCCGATGAGTTCATTAAGGCTCATTATGTAGGGCGGGACACGCGGCAGGAGCCGTGACAGGATCGATGAGCGGGGCTACGGGGGACCGGGGGGGCTGCACAGCCCCCCAGCGCACCCCCGGCACCCCACGACTCAGCCCCCATGGGTGCAGCCCACCCGGGGGTCACTGAGTCCCCACAGCAGCTCCCCTCAGACAAAGCAGGGGCTCGGTTGTGGCTTTTCCACAGTTTTATTCCAAAAATAAATTCGAAGAAGGGTATAAGTTATGGGGGGTGGGGGGCGGGAGCAGGGCTGCACTGGGGGGGCAGTGCCCACCCCCCACCCCTACCTCCTCTTGTCCTTGATGCTGTAGTGCAGCAGGAGGGGTGCAGGCTGTGGGGCAAAGAGGGGGGGTCAGAGCTGGGGGGTTCCAGCCAAGGACTGCCCTTGGGACAGAGACCCCAGATCCCAGCCCAGGGAGTGTCCCTGGGGTAGGGACTCCAAGCCTCAGCCCAGGGAACCCCCCCAGACAGAGACCCCCCCCAATCCCAGCCCATGACCCCAAACCCCAGCCCAGGACTCCCTCCTAGGGCAGGGATCCCAAACCTCAATCCAGGGACACCCCACTCTCAGTCCACGACCCAAAACCCCAGCCCAAGATCCCCTTGGGGCAGAGACCCCAAACCCCAGCCCAGAAGTCCCCTGGTACAGGGACCCCAATCCCAGCCCAGGGACTCCACCACAAACTTGGCCAACCCCTTTGGGGACCCCCCAGATCACCACTGCAGCCACTGACGCTAAAGATCCTCAATCCCTCAACGCCATAACGCCCCGAACCACCCCCAGAGGGTCACCCTACCACTCCTCCGGCAGGGTGAACCCCAAAACCAGAGGCTGCCACCCCTTAGGACGGATGCACACCTTGCCAAACCAGCGCGAGAGCCAAAGCTGCTTCATTGTCATGTGGTCGGGGAGGGGCTCGTTGTCAAACAGGATCTGCACCTGCACGGGGAGGCTGCATCAGGGGGGCCAGGACACCCCTGGGGGCTGGGACCCCCCCCCCCATGGACCCCCACTCACATGCTGCAGGGACAGCCCCAGCCGGTGGCACAGGACCCTCCGCAGGTGTCGGATCTGTGCCCGCACCGAGCACCTCACGTATTTCTGCTGTGAGGGGCACAGAGGGTTGGGGGGCTGTGGGGGCCCCCAGGGACCCCACACACCCCTGCCAGGGCTCTACAGGGACCCCCACTCACCTGCAGCATGGCCTTGCTCTTGTCCTTGCTGGAGCTATGGTGGGAAGAGAAAGGGACACGTGTCTAAGGTCTCATGGGTCAGGGGTCATGCCCGGTGTCCCCTGTGTCCCCTCCCCACCCCACGGAGGGGCTGCAGACCACGGACTCACCTCAGTTTCTCCAGGCAGAGCGAGACGTGCTCGTCGTAGCGGAAATAGTGCGCGCGCGAGTGGTCAAAGGTGCTGTAGGGGAGCCCCATGGGGTCACCCCCCACCGTGTCTGGGGACACAGGTGGCACCGTCAGCCCCCTGTGCCCCCCACACCCCCCCAGCACCGCCCTCCCGTGCCCCCCTGTCCCACCACCACCGCTGGGCTGCGTCACCCGGTCGAGGCCACGGGACTGGTAGAACTCCCGGATCCGCTTCTCCTCACCTGCAAGGGACGGGTGGCTCAGGGACACCCTGGGGCCATCTGCTCCTGAGGGTGGGCCCTGGCTGTACCTCGTGACCCTGTACTGTGCTGCATTCCATGTCACCTGAGCCCCCCATGTCCCCTGTACTGTGCTGCATGCCACGTCCCCTGAGCCCCCCATGTCCCCCGAGCCCCCCATGTCCCCCATGTCCCCCACACTGTGCTGCATGCCACGTCCCCTGAGCCCCCCATGTCCCCCCAAGTCCCCTGAGCCCCCCGTACTGTGCTGCATGCCGTGTCCCCTGAGCCCCCCGTGTCCCCCATACTGTGCTGCATGCCATGTCCCCTGAGCCCCCCATGTCCCCTGAGCCCCCCACATCCCCCAAGCCCCCCATGTCCCCCATGTCCCCTGTACTGTGCTGCATGCCATGTCCCCTAAGCCCCCCATGTCCCCCCAAGTCCCCTGAGCCCCCCATGTCCCCTGTACTATGCTGCTTGCCATGTCCCCTGAGCCCCCCATGTCCCCCGTACTGTGCTGCATGCCATGTCCCCTGAGCCCCCCAAGTCCCCTGAGCCCCCCATACTGTGCTGCTTGCCATGTCCCCTGAGCCCCCCATGTCCCCTGTACTGTGCTGCATGCCATGTCCCCTGAGGCCCCCATGTCCCCCATGTCCCCTAAGCCCCCCATGTCCCCCCAAGTCCCCTGAGCCCCCCATGTCCCCCGAGCCCCCCGCGTCCCCTGAGCCCCCCATGTCCCCCATGTCCCCTAAGCCCCCCATGTCCCCCCAAGTCCCCTGAGCCCCCCATGTGCCCCATACTGTGCTGCATGCCATGTCCCCTGAGGACCCCATGTCCCCCATGTCTCCTGAGCCCCCCATGTCCCCCATGCCCCCTGAGAATCCCATGTCCCCTGTACCGTGCTGCATGCCATGTCCCCTGAGCCCCCCATGTCCCCTGAGCCCCCCATGTCCCCTAAGCCCCCCATGTCCCCCCAAGTCCCCTGAGCCCCCCATGTCCCCCACACTGTGCTGCATGCCATGTCCCCTAAGCCCCCCCATGTCCCCCCAAGTCCCCTGAGCCCCCCATGTCCCCTGAGCCCCCCTGTGTCCCCCATGTCCCCCGTACTGTGCTGCAGGCCGGGCACCAGCTTGTAGACGATGTCCTGCATGACCCTGTCCAGTTTGAGGTTGAGCAGCGGCTGCGTCTCGTGGATCTTGGTGTTGCACATGGGGCAGTACTTGCTGGTCTGCAGGTACTTCACGATGCAGCTCTTGCAGACTGGGGACAAGGACAGGTGTGAGGGGACATGGACAGGTGTAGGAGGGGTGGGACCACACCCCCGTGGGACTCACAGCCCCCCACCCAGGTGGGGATGCTCACAGGTGTGCAGGCACTCGGTGATGGTGGTGGCGTCGATGAAATACCCGGCGCACAGGAAACACACGATGTGCTCGTTCAGCTCCTTCATCTTCACCTTCACCTCCTCCTAGGGGGACACCTCACTGTCACATGGAGCATCCCAGACCACCCCCACCTGTCACCTGGAACCCCTTAGCCCAAGGATCCTCTCCTGCCATTCCCTTAAAAAGCTAAAAAAATCGGATTTTGGGGAGTTGCACCTCATGTTTTGCTTCAATATGCCAGAAAACAGATTCTGACGGGCTGGCCACCCCCGTCCTGTTAAGATATGTAAGAAAATGGGACTTTGTAGGGATTGCCCCATGTCTTCCTTTATTATACCAGAAAATGGGATTTTGAGAGGCTGGCCTCACTGTCTTATTTTAACGGGAAAATGACAGAAAATGGGATTCCGGGGAGCCACGCCTCCTGTTTTCTCTTATTATTTCAGAAAACAGGATTTAGGGAGGCTGTGCCTCCTGCCTTCCATTATTACGGCAGAACACGGGATTTTGGGATGCTGCACCCCCTGTATGGCCTTAACATACCAGCAAACAGGACTGAGCACTCTGTACTCCATTATCACGCTATAAAACTAGATTTGAAGGGGGCTGGATGCCCTGTTTTGCCTTATTATACCAAAAAATGGGATTTTTGGGGGTCCGGGGACACCCCCCAGCCCAGTGCCTGCCCCGAGCCTTGGCCACGCCCCCTTCCCTTGGCCCCGCCCCCGCACCGCCCCTCGGTCTCACAGCGCCCCCCAGCGGCGCCACCGCGCCACCTCCCGTCCCCTCCCGCGCTGGCCCCCGGTGTCGCCGCCACCGCCTCCTCCCGCTGCCTCCCGCCCTCCCGGTACGGCCGCTCGCCTCGTTCCGCAGCGGGTCCATCTTGTAGACGGCCTGGAGCTGGTTCCGCAGCCGCATGGCGATGGCCATCGGGCCCCCCTGAGGAGGCGACGCCATCTTAGAGCCGCCTCCGCCTGTGGCCTCGCGCACTTCCGTGTTCGGGGCGGGGCCGCAGCGAGCGGCGGGACTACAACTCCTAGCGTGCCCCGCGTGTCTCGAGCCGCGGCGGGCAGCGCAAGCTCGGCCCGGTGCTGATCCTTCCCCACAACCCACGGGGAGAGGCGCGGGATCCCGAGAGCCGCCGCCCTCATCCGTGAGGGGGAACCGCCGGGAGCCGCCGCCACCGGACCCGCCGTGTTTAGGGGCGGGTGTTCACGGCGCTGGCCAATAGCGAGAGGGCGCGCTCTTGACGGACAGCAGCGGCCGCCAATCAGAGAGGGCTCTGCGTGCGCGCGGTGCTGAGGGAGACCGCCAGAGGGCGGCAGAGCAACGCGGGGGAACGGGAGGGGCGGGGGGGTCGGGAGTCTGAGGGGGTTTGAGGAGTTCTGAGGAGGTTTGAGGAGTTCTGAGGGGGTCTGAGGGGTTCTGAGGAGTTCTGAGGGGGTCTGAGGGGGTTTGAGGGGGTCTGAGGGGGTTTGAGGAGTTCTGAGGGGGTTTGAGGAGGTCTGAGGGGGTCTGAGGGGTTTGAGGAGTTCTGAGGGGGTCTGAGGGGGTTTGAGGGGGTCTGAGGGGGTCTGAAGGGGTTTGAGGGGGTTTGAGGGAGTCTGAGGGGGTTTGAGGAGTTCTGAGGGGTTTTGAGGGGGTCTGAGGGGGTCTGAGGGGGTTTGAGGGGGTCTGAGGGGGTCTGAGGGGGTTCGGGGTGTCCCGGCGGGGCCACACGGTGACCGGGCTGGGCTGAGGGATGCGGCGGCCCCCGCAGGGTCGGGCTAGCGAGGTGCTGGCAGAGTTGGGGTGTGTGCCCTGGCACTTCGGGGTGCTGCCAGTTTGGGGTGCCGAGGTGCTGCCAGTTTGGGGTGCCAGCGGAGCAGCCCGCGGCCCCACCCGGAGCCACGCTAATGAAGGTTTGGCTCAGGGGAAGCAGCGGCCGCGCTAATGCGGAGCCGAGCCGAGATCCCCACGACCCCTCAGAGCCCCCCACGGGCAGAGGAGCACGGCGGGACCCCCGAGAAGGGACTGGCACCCAGCATGGAGCTCCTGGCACACAGCCGCGCTGCCACGACCGGGAACTGTGAGGTTTTGGGGCTCCTGGATGCGTCCCGGTCATTTTTATGGTCCCGGTCCGGGATACGGGTCACAGACCGCTCAGCTCCCTCAGTGTGCCCAGTCCAGTCGCGCTGTCCCCCTGCCCGACCGGAGCGGTCACCCCGGTGCCAGCCCCTCGTCCCGGGAGGCGCACAGTGTGTGGCCGAGCCCCGGGACCGCACCGGGAGCAACACGAGCCCCTCCCGGTACCGGAGCACCGGCGGGCAGAGGTTCCGGACCAGCCCCGGCCCGGGAGGTGAGAGCGCGGCGGGGGCCGGTGACCCGCGGCTGGGGAGGGTCCGGTCCCATCTGTACCTGCCAGGAGCCATCCGGGGAGGGGCGGGGGTCACAACGGGGCCAGCGCGGCCCCGCGGCGGGGCAGCATCGCTTTGTGCCGCCGCCGTGAGGAGAACCGGCACCGGCACCCGGTAACGGCACCGGCACCCGGTAACGGCACCGGCACCGCCAGTCCCGGCCGGGCGAGGAGCGGGCTCTGTGGGTGTCTCTAGCTTGGGGACCGAGAGCGGAGAGCCCGTCCCCGGTACTCCCGGAGCCTCCCCCGCCAGGCGGGCACGGGCGAGGCCGCGGATCCATCTCGCCGTTAATAATTGATGGCGGGAGCCGGCGGGGCTGTGCGGGGCTCCGAGGGCGAAGCTTTTAAGCCCAACCCTGCTCAGATATTCAGCTCCATTTCCGCGGCAGGGCCGGGGCGGCTCCTTCTGGGAAGCGCTGCCGGGCGTTTTCCCGGCCGGAGCCTCGCTGGGGCTGAGCCGGACACGCTCCTGACCCAATTTGGGATCCCCCAAGGAAGGCAGGGGGTCCCCAAGTTGAGCAGGGGTCCCTGTTAGATCCGGCAGGGTGGATAGGGGTCCCTATTAATTCCTCTGAGGTGGGCAGGGGTCCCTATAGGGTCCCTGTTAGATCCGGCAGGGTGGATAGGGGTCCCTATTAATCCCTCTGAGGTGGGCAGGGGTCCCTATAGGGTCCCTGTTAGATCCGGCAGGGTGGATAGGGGTCCCTATTAATCCGTCTGAGGTGGGCAGGGGTCCCTATAGGGTCTCTGTTAGATCCGGCAGGGTGGATAGGGGTCCCTATTAATCCCTCTGAGGTGGGCAGGGGTCCCTATAGGGCAGCGGGGGTTGGGTGCTTATGGACTGAGCTCTTGCCTAATGCACCGAGTACATCTGCAGAATCCAATTAACCTTCGCTAACGAGGCCCTGAGGCACGCGGCTGTCAGCGGCCACCAGCCACCGGCACACCGGGACGGGCACCTGCAGCCCCCCGGCCGGGGAGACCCCACAACACCCCCAGTGGGTGTCGGACCCTAAGGAGATGGGGTTGGGGTACGCGGGCACTGATCCCACTGAGCAGTGGGGCAGGAGCTGCCTGTCCTGCAGGGAGCAAGAATGGGGGGCTCTGTGTGCCCCCCACTCCCACAGCACTCCCTCCTGCCCCCTGCTCCATCCCTCACCCCACCGAAGTTGGCATCCATCACCTCTGCAGCCCCCCAGCAGCCGGGGGTCGGTGTCACCGTGCAGCCACCCCCGCACCCGTGTGGCACCCGGCTCCTCCCCGAGGACACCGCGCAGCCGCCGCCGGTCACCGTGACGTCCGAGTGGGCCGCAGTCACCCCGGTCCCGTCCCGACTTCATCCCGACTCCATCCCATCCCATCCCCATCCATCCCCGTGCCAACCGGCTCGGGGTGGGCACCGCGCCCACCGGCTGCTGCCGCCTCACCCCGCGCACCCCGTCCCGGTGCCGGCGCCCGCGGCGGGCGGGCGGCGGGGGGCACCGGGAGTGTTTCATGCGGTTAAGAAGTGTCTGATTGAGGCAGGAGGCGCCAGCAGCTCCCCCGGGAGCCGCAAGCCAAGGACTGGAGGACCAAATGCAGGCTAAAGTAATCCAATCTGGGCTGGTTCATCTAATTAGCCCAGAATTAACCCAGCAGCCAGAGAGGAGCTGACTGTCCCTCCAGTTTGCCAGCGGGTTTGGGGGGAAGCGGGAGGAAGAAGGGGACGTCCAGCGGTAATGAGATTACCGGGGGGAGCGGGCGGGAGCGGGTGTGCGGCAGCCTCTGGCCGGTGGGAACGTGGGGCCCTGCCAGATCCCCGCCGCCCCATCGCCGTGATGGCCGGGACACCGGGCACGGACCCGTCCCAGTGACCCGCGCCCCGGCAGCAGCTCCCGTAGGGAACGGGAGCACCGGGGACGTGGCACCACCGGCAGCCCCGGGGCTACGGTGGGGAACGGGAAAAGGAGTCCCGGTAGCTTCGGGCAGCACCTCCGGGTGAGGCGGGCAGAGGCCAGAGCCCCCAGACCCCATGAGTGACCCCCCAGACCCCATGTGTGACCCCCCCTGCTCTCAGAGGCACAGGGGTGGGCACTGGCTGAAGGCTGATTCCCTCCTGGAACTGGGCAAATGTCCCTTTTTTCTGCCCCATCCCCTCCACCTGTCACTGCCACCACAAGAACTGTCATCCCCAGCCCCATGGGATGCCAGCGGGCACACACCGAGGACACGGAGGTCCTGCTGGAGTTGAGAAATGAGGAAGGGTCTTTACTGGCCCAGTGGGGGGTTCCGGGTGCAGGGACCCTGCCTGGTCCCCAGGGTGACTCCAGGTGGCCCAAGGATCACTGGGAACACAGCCAGTGGCACAAGGTGGTGACAGTGAGGGGTCCCTGGGTGGGAAACACCCTACAGCAGGGTGGGAAGGGGCTCAGAACTCCTTGAGCACCCTCAATTCTTCCTGCACCTTCCAGGGCAGCCCTGCTGGAGGCTGCCGGGCAGGGGGGGCTGCTCCGGCCGGGGGTGCCGCCTGCAGCCCCCCGTGGGCGTGGGGCGGGTCCCGGCGCCGGGAGAACCCGCATTGCCCCGGGCCCCGTCACAGCCCCCCGATCCATCTCCCAGCCCGGCAGATTCCAGCCCCTGGGCACGGCAACATCTGCCTCCTGCTCCGGCTTCAATTAACCTGCCTCCTCCTCCTCCGGTACCCGCCATTTCCTCCCGCTGCCACTGTCACCGCCACTGTCACCGCTGTCACTGCCACTGTCGCCGCCACGGGGTCACTGCGGGTCCCTCTGTCGCAGCAGACCCGGAGCTGGTGGATCTTTCCAAGTGGAAAAGCCACAGTGGGAGCGCTGGGATTTGTCCTGTCACCTGCGGGGTTGCGAGCAGGAAAAGCCAAAAAAGCCGCGGCGCTTTTGTGTCCCCCTCCCCTTCTGGGCACACGAAGCTCCGTCGGTGCCCCGGTGTGGAGAGGAGCAGCTCGGCCGTTCCCGGTGTCGTGCTGGGCTGTGGGCACGGCCGAGGGTGGCACAGGGTGTGTGCCAACGCGGTCCCGGCTCCCGCGGCCCCACATGGCACCACCCGGTGCCCCCCGGTGCCCCAGGGGTGTGCGGTGCCCCCGGCGCGGCAGCTGCAGCCCCCGGTGCTGCCGTGATTTACAGGCGCAGGCCCCGGTAATGTCATTTACCCCAGACCGGTGGCGCCAGCCGCCTCCGCCCCTCCAGCCCCTGTCCCGGGGCCGTGACCCGCTCGGGAGCCGCCGGGAGCCCACCCGCGGGGCCGCCGTGTCGCGATAGTCGTCGGAAGACCCGACCCAGCCAGTGCCGCTCTCTCTGCTGCCGTTACCGGGCTGGGCTCTGTCACCGGGAAAGGCGGGGCGGGAACCGGGGTCCATCCCAGGGAACGGCGGGTCGGGAACCGGGGTCCATCCCAGGGAACGGCGGGTCGGGAACCGGGGTCCATCCCAGGGAACGGCGGGTCGGGAACCGGGATTTATCTCCGGGCATGGCGGGGCCAGGGGGTGTCGGACTTCACCCCCCTGCACAGTTTGGTCCGTGGAAAACGGGCTCCGTGATACCGGGAACGGCAGATCCCGGGGAAGGGGGTTCACGCCCCGGGAACTGAAGGTCGCCGTGGGGTCGGTGTCCCGGGAACGGCGGTTTCCCGGGAACTCCGAGGAGATTGGGATCAGTGTCCCGGGATGTGTCCGTGTTCTGTGAACGGCGGCGGGTCGGAACAACCCCCGGGTCCCCGCACCGGGCTCCCGGGCCTCCGGATCCGTTCGCTGCCGTATGGACGGGCTCGGGGGGAACCGGGCTCGGTGCGAAGCCTGCGCGGCTCCGTGCGCCCCGCGGTAACGGCGCTGGGGCAGGGACCGCTTCGTGCGCCCACGGGGCTACGGACGGAGCGGGGACGCTGCGGGTGACGGTGAACCGGGTAGGCGGCCCGGTGGACGCCCCGGTGGGGGCGAACGGGTACGGAGCCCGTCGGTGCGCGGGGGACGTGCGGGGCGCGGGCGCTCGGGACCCGACGGGCCCGTCCGCTTGTCCCGGAGCCGGGGCGGGGACCGGGAGCGGCGGGGATGGGGTGGGGGGGGTACCGGGGAGGGGGCGGGGCCCCGGGCTGTCAATCACGGGGCGCGGCCGCCAATCAGGGCGCGGGCGGTGGGAGTTCGGCCGGTCCGGATGGAGCGGGGCAGAAAAGCGCGTCCCGCCAGGGCCCGCAGCCCACCCGCGCTCCCGCCCCGGGGCCGCCAGCGGCGGCGAGCCATGCCCCGCACCGTGCCCCGGGCCCGCACCCGCACCCGGTACCTGCCCCGCACCTCGCACCGCGTCCCGCCCCGCACCGGCCGCTCCCGCCGCCCCCCGGCCATGCCCGCGTCCCACCGGCTCTGAGCGCGGCCGGGATGGAGCGGGAGGGCGGCGGCCCCGGGCCCCCCGCGCCCCACGAGCCCATCAGCTTCGGTATCGACCAGATTTTAGGCGGCCCCGAGCCCACGGGGCCGCACCGGGCGGCGGCAGAGCCCGACTACGGGCTCTACGGGAGCGGTTACGGTGCCGGCGCTCCGCTCGGCTCCTACAACCTCAACATGAGCATGAACGTGAGCGTGAACGTGACCCCCGCGCCCGCCGCGCCGCCCGCCGGAGTCATCCGCGTCCCGGCGCACCGGCCCGCGCCCGCCGCGCCCGCCGCGCCCGCCGCGCCGCCACCGGGGCCCGCGCTGCCGGGGCTCACCTTCCCCTGGATGGAGACCACCCGCCGTATCGCCAAGGACCGGCTCTCCGGTGAGCGGGGGGACGGCTGCTGGGGCTCCCGGGGCTCAGCGGCACCGGTACCGTCGGGGCAGTGCGGTCCGGGGATCGGACGGGGGTGGCGGGGACCGTGCGCTCCACAGGTTCCCGCAGCGCCCGGTCCTCGCCCGCCGCCGTCGGGGCATGCGGGAAAAGGGTCGGGGTGGACGCGGCTACCGGCGGCTTCACCGCGGTACCGGGCAGGGTCCGGCGGCTGCGGGTGGAGCCCGGGAGAGTCGCAGCGGGCTCCGGTCTGGAGCTCTGCTTCATGTCCGGTCCCTTCCCCGGTTTGGAGGTGGCGGTGGTGACACTGTGTCACCATAACAGGGGGGCTGTGGGGGGCCGGGGTGTGGAGTGGGAGCTCTGAGGGGGCTCCCCTGGAACGGAGAGTGGGGTGGGGGCTCCGTGGGGACACGGTGCAGGGTGGGGGAAGCACCGTGGGGCTGAGGACAAAGCTCATCCATGCACGGAGCAGATGTCCCACACCTTGTGAACCCCAGGGGATGGGGACGGTGGTGGAGCAGTAGCTGTGGGGTGGCTGTGATGGGATCCTGGGTCTGAACACGGTGCCGGTGGTGTGGGAGAGGCTGTTGTGGAGGGGTTGAGATACCGCTGAGTGCCCTGCTGGGGGCTGGGGGTGTTGTTTGCAGCACCCGAGGAGCAGGAGGGGTGCTGAGGTTGGGGTCCCGGGCACTGGGACCGTGTGTGGGTGTTGCAGACCCCCGGCCTGGCTCAGCTCTGCTCCCACCCAAGATGGCGGCACTGCCACGTCCCCATCGTGTGGCTGCGTTTGGGGACAAAGCTGGAGGCCGTGCCGGGCCAGTGGCCATGTGGGCGATGGGGCAACGTGGGGCGAGATGTTGGGGACATGGGGGTCCCGTGTGGGCACCAGCAGAACCGTGATCACCTCCCGGCCCAGCCGCCATCGCGGTGGTGACGAAGCACCGTCCCCGCGCGAGGGTGGCGGGTGGCGGGTGACGTCCTCGTCTCCTGCCTGGCGCCAGCGTTGGCTGGATGGGGCGGCCCCTCCCCGGCACGGGCTCTCCCAGCCGCAGCCATCACTCAGCACCACCGGCCTTGGGGTGGGCCGCGGGCAGGAGGCGTCTGGTCCCGGCGAGGGGAGGGGGAACGGGGCCTCCACCTGCGTCAACCGTGTCCGCCCCCGCCGGCGGCCAGGCGGCCTCCTGGGTGTGGGTGGGAGGGAGTCTGTGGGTGCTGGGGGCCCCCTGGGGTGCTGTGGGCTGTACGCACATCCCTGTGGCTCCATGGCCAACCACGGTCCCGGCCGTGCCCACGTGGTGCTGGCCCTGGTGATGGCCCTGGTGATGGCCACAGTGCCATGGCGCCATGGGGACGTGGTGCTGTAGGGTCATGGCTTGGCTGAGGCTGCTGTCAGAGCAGGAGGGACATGGGGCCAAGCCTTAACTTTCCTTCATGCTGCTTCACTGTTCTGACGCTCCCTGCAGCTCTGGCACCTTCTGGGGCACATTGGTCTCACTGGGGCTGGCCCACACCTCAGCTGGGCAAGGGACATCCCCTTCCAAGCCCCTGGCAGTGGCCAGCCCAGGGATTGCTGACCCATGGAAAGAGACTTTCTGCCCCCAACACCTTCTGTGTCCCATCCCCTCACGGGCAGGGCTGGGCAGCCCCTGCAGGGCTCGGTGTGAGGGGAGGCACCAGTCCTGTGACCATGCCACCCCATCCGCCCTGACATCCCAGTGCCACGCGGCTGTGGGAGTGACCGTGTCCCCCTCTGCTACTCACCCAGGCCATCCCCATGTCCCCAAGCCCCCCGGCATCCCCTCAGGCTCCTGCTCTGCTGCTCTTTGCGATGTCACCCCCAGCCCCTCTCACCCCGCTGTCCCCACAGCCGCGCTGTCACCCTTCGCGGTGACGCGGCGCATCGGGCACCCGTACCAGAACCGGACGCCGCCCAAGCGCAAGAAGCCGCGGACGTCCTTCTCCCGGGTGCAGATCTGTGAGCTGGAGAAGCGATTCCACCGGCAGAAGTACCTGGCCTCGGCCGAGCGGGCCACCCTGGCCAAGGCACTCAAGATGACGGACGCCCAGGTCAAGACCTGGTTCCAGAACCGCCGCACCAAGTGGAGGTAACGGGGCTGCCCTGGGGTAACCGCCACAGCCACGATGGTCACACCGCGCTGGCAGACACCTCAGTGTGTCCCTCTGGAGACACCTCAGTGTGTCCCTCTGGAGACACCTCAGTGTGCCCCTCTGGCAGACACCCCGATATCCCTCTGGTAGCCACCCCAATATCCCTCTGACAGCCACCTCAGTGTGTCCCTCTTGCAGCCACCTCAATGTGTCCCTCTGGCAGCCACCTCAGTGTGTCCCTCTGGCAGACACTCCAATATATTCCTCTGACAGACACCCCGATATCCCTATGGCAGCCACCCCGATATCCCTCTGACATCCCAATATCCCTCTGACAGACACCTCAATATCCCTCTGGCAGCCACCTCAGTGTGTCCCTCTGGCCGACACCCCAATATCCCTCTGACATCCCAATATCCCTCTGGCAGCCACCCCAATATATCCCTCTGACAGCCACCCTGATATCCCTCTGACAGACACCCCAATATCCCTCTGGCTGCCACCCCAATATATCCCTCTGACAGCCACCCTGATATCCCTCTGCCACCCCAATATCCCTCTGACATCCCAATATCCCTCTGACATCTCAATATCCCACTGACAGACATCCCAATATCCCTCTGACATCCCAATATCCCTCTGACAGACACCCCAATATCCCTCTGACATCCCAATATCCCTCTGACAGACACCCCAATGTGTCCCTCTGACAGACACCCCAATGTGCCCCTCTGGCCGACACCCCAATATTCCTCTGGCCGACACCCCAATATCCCTCTGACAGCCACCCTGATATCCCTCTGCCACCCCAATATCCCTCTGACATCTCAATATCCCACTGACAGACACCCCAATATCCCTCTGACATCCCAATATCCCTCTGACATCCCAATATCCCTCTGACAGACACCCCAATATCCCTCTGACATCCCAATATCCCTCTGACAGCCACCCCAATATATCCCTCTGGCAGCCACCCCGATATCCCTCTGACAGACACCCCAACATCCCTCTGGCAGACACCCCAATGTACCCCTCTGACAGACACCCCAATAGACACTCTGACAGCCACCCTGATATCCCTCTGCCACCCCAATATCCCTCTGACAGACACCTCAATGTGTCCCTCTGGCAGACACCCCGATATCCCTCTGACACCCCAATATCCCTCTGACATCCCAATATCCCTCTGGCAGACACCCCAATATCCCTCTGGCAGACACCCCAATATCCCTCTGGCAGCCATCCCAATATCCCTCTGGCAGCCACCCCAATATCCCTCTGGCAGCCACCCCAAAATATCCCTCTGGCAGCCACCTCAATGTGTCCCTCTGGCAGCCACCCCAATGTGCCCCTCTGACAGACACCCCAATATTCCTCTGGCAGCCACCCCAATGCATCCCCCTGACAGACACCCTGATATCCCTCTGACATCCCAATATCCCTCTGACAAACACCCCGATATCCCTCTGACAGACACCCCAATATATTCCTCTGACAGACACCCCAATATATTCCTCTGACAGACACCCCAATATCCCTCTGGCAGCCACCCCGATATCCCTCTGACATCCCAATATCCCTCTGGCAGACACCCCAATATCCCTCTGGCAACCACCCCAATATCCCTCTGGCAGCCACCCCAATGTGCCCCTCTGACAGCCACCCCAATATCCCTCTGACATCCCAATATCCCTCTGGCCGACACCCCGATATCCCTCTGACAGACACCCTAATATCCCTCTGACAGACACCCCAATATATCCCTCTGACAGACACCCCGATATCCCTCTGGCAGACACGATATATTCCTCTGACAGACACCCCAATGTGCCTCTCTGGCAGACACCCCAATGCGTTCCTCTGGCAGACACCCCGATATCCCTCTGACATCCCAATATCCCTCTGACATCCCAATATCCCTCTGACAGCCATCCCAATGTGTCCCTCTGACAGCCACCCCAATATCCCTCTGGCATCCCAATATCCCTCTGACATCCCAATATCCCTCTGACAGACACCCCAATGTGTCCCTCTGACAGACACCCCAATATATCCCTCTGACAGCCACCCCACTATCCCTCTAGCAGCCCCAAACCCCACATCCCTCCAGCAGTGAGCCCCACATTCTGGGGCCCCGAGGCTGGCACTGGGACGGACTGGGGATGGATGGCACGGGCTGCCCGTCACTGTGGCAGTGCCAGCAGTAAGGGACAGGGACAGCGCTGTGGGGCAGCGGGCAGTGCCAGCAGTAAGGGGACAGGCACAGCGGGCAGTGCCAGCTGTAAGGGGACAGGGACAGCGCTGTGGCACAGGTGGCAGTGCCAGCTGGTGCCACCGGCGGCTGTGTGCAGGCGGCAGACGGCGGAGGAACGCGAGGCGGAGCGGCAGCAGGCCAACCGGCTGATGCTGCACCTGCAGCAGGAGGCGTTCCAGAAGAGCCTGGCACAGCCGCTGCCGCAGGACCCCCTGTGCATGCACAACTCCTCGCTCTACGCCCTCCAGAACCTCCAACCCTGGGCCGAGGACAACAAGGTGACATCGGTCTCGGGGGTGGCCTCCGTGGTGTGACGGGGGCCACCCCTGGGTGCTGCTGATGTGCCGGGAGGTGGCACTGGGAGCCCCGGTGGGATTTGAGGCTGGATGGTGGCAGGGAAGGGGCTGCAGCTTCCTGAGAGCCCCTCCCCACCATGGAGAGCCCCCCAGGAGCATCCAGGAGCGAAGCTGTGCCCTTGTGGTTGGACTCAGAGCTTCAGCAAAGCCCACCTGGAGCCCAGGGGTGGGCACCCATGCCCTATGGACCTCTGCAGCCCCCTGCCTAACCCCCAGATGTCTGCAGCACCCTGCTCACACCCGTGGCACCCAAGGGACACCTGCAGCTCCCTGCCCGCACCCCTGGGAGCCCAAACGTGGCCCCCCACACCTGGCAGGGTTCTGCAGCTCCGTGGGTCACTCTGAGCTCCCTGTGAGCCCCACCCGGAGCAGGGCAGGGCGTGGATCTCCCACTCCTGGTGCTGGAAGCCCCCCACCCTGCCAGCGGGGTCTCACCACTTGCCTTATCCCGGGTGGAATTTGCCACCTCCACCTTCCATGACTTGGCCACCCCGACCCCACCCTGAGGTGGGACAAACTGAAGGTCTGAGCCCCCGGACCCGGTGTGGACGTGCACTTGCAGCCCCCCACCACGGGCTTGGGGTGCCCCCCATGCCGACGGATCGCACCCCCCCACAGATTGAACCTTGCTGTGACCCACAGGACACTCGTGGGGTGCAGAGGGGCTGAACCCCCCTTTCTTCTGCCACATCTCTGCACCCCTCCCCAGTGACCCCCTAAACGGGGCTTCCCCCTGCCAGGACCATCCAGCCCGGCTCTAACCTCTGTTGGTGATGATGATGATGATGATGATGATGGAGGGAATGAAGGGTGTGGGGAGATAACAACGGTGACCTTGACCCACCCCACTGCTACCCGCGCTGCTGCAGCCCCTCACCCCACTTTTGGGGGGCCAGCCTGCTGCGGGCTCCCCCTCTCCGCTGCTCTCGGGAGGGTGGGACAGCCGGTACCGGCGGGATTGGCCGCGGTTCCGTGACGCGGAGGGGTGGGACCGCAGCAGCACCGGGATGAGCGCGGCCGAGGGCCGGCCCCGGTGCCGCTGGGGCGGTGAGGCGGTGCTCCGTGCCCGTGCTGAGGCCGCCGGTTACCGGAGGCTGCTGCGAGCCCGAGCCGCCGAGGTGGAGGCGTTACGGGGGGCGGTGGGCGCGTTACACCGGCAGCTGGAGGGGCTGCGGGACCGGCGGAGCGGGGAGCTGGCCAAGTACCAGGTGCGGGATTTGGGGGGGCTGGGGGCGCCTGGGGGGGTGGGAGGAGGGGGGTGGATGTTTTTTTGGGGAGGGGGCGGTGCTGGAGCTGGATGCCCGGAGGGATGGGGAGAAGGGGGGTGGGGATGGGGAGGGGGTCAGGGGTCCGCATGGGATGGGGGAGTCCAGGTGGGACTGGGAGGTGGGGTTTGCGTGGGTGTCCCTGTGCGTGGGTGTGGGTGCGGGGATCCCGTGGGTCCCTGTGGGGTGGGGGCTTAGGGGTGCATGTAGGGCGGGGGTCTCCCCGGGGATCCGTGCGGGGTGGGGGGTGGCTCAGGGAGTCTGTGTAGGTGGGGGTCGAGGGGGTCGGGGTCCGGCCGGGGATGTCGGGGGTCGCCCCGCGGCCCCGGCGCTGCTGACGGGCCGGTTCAGGAGCGGGTGGCGGAGCTGGAACGGGAGATCGGAGCGGCGGAGGCGGAGATGGCCCGGTGCCTGCGGGAGTACCCGGCGCTGCTGCGGCTGCGGATGGCGCTGGAGGCGGAGATCGCCGCGTACCGGTACGCGAGGGGGGCGAGGGGGGCACGGAGGTGGGCGAGGGGCTCAGCCCGGCCCTTCTTTCCCAGGGAGATGCTGGAGAGCGAGGAGCTCCGCCTGGGCGCCTTGGTCCCGCCGTGACCGGAGCTCTGGAGCCCCGGTCCCACCACCGGAGCCCGGCCCTGCCGTTACCACCGGACCCACGGTCCCGGGAGCGGACCCTCAGCATCACCACCGGACCCCGGTTGCTCCGCCGGACCCCAGACCCCCACGATTCCCTGGGACCCTCTGGAGCTCTCTGGACTCACGGAGCCCCGGTCCTTCTGCCCCCCGGTTCCACGGGTGCCCCGGGAGCCCGGGAGGGCAGCGCCCGGGGGGACACACGCTCACCAGCCTCTCCGGGGTGGGGGTCCCGGCCCAGACCCGCGTGGAAGCACCTCAATAAAGCCCCGTGGCATCACCCGGAGCCGGCCCGGCTGGAGGGGGGTGGGCAGCACCCCCGGCTGTGCTCCAGGGGTGTGTGGGGGGCTCCGTGGGAAGTTCATGGAGGGGAGTGGGTTCCCTCCTGCCTGAGGGTGCAGCACCTCACGGGGACACTGTGGGGTCACAGCTTCGATAAAACGGAGCCGGGGTGGTCGGTGATCCCCCCACGCCAGCGGCACTTTAGGGTCAGGATGGGATCCTGCTCCCCGGGGTGCTTCTCCTGTTGTCCCACCGCAGTCCCCACAAAGGAGGCAGAGCTGGGTGGGTTTTTGAGGCTTGGGGGAGTTCAGGGAAGCTGGGCAGGACACTCTACCCCGCCTGTCCCCGAGTGGAGCCTGTCCCAGCCTTGCAGATGGACCCCAGGGCTGAGCCTTGTGCCAGGGGGAGCCCACACAGACACCGAGCAGGGTTTGTGGTGGCAAAGCCAATCCCAGGGTTTTAATAGGCAAAAAAAAAAATCCTTTTTCCAAGCTGTTAAGGCATGGGGGTTGTGGGGAAAGCAGGTTTGTGGGGTCAGCACCCTCAAAACCGCCGTTATTGGGGTGCATCGAGGCCCATCCAGGCGCTCCAGGGGCTCCAGGCCGGGGGGGTGTAGGGGTCCCGGCAGCTGATCCGCACCCACCCCGCTCCCACCGGCACCGGCGTCTCCTCCACACCCTCCACGAACTGCTCAACCTGCAAAAGGAGCAGGGCATGGCATGGGGAGACCCTCGGGGAGGGGGACACCAGCACCCCCCGAGCCCGGCAGCGCTGTGGGGAGCAGAGGTGACACCCAGGGGTGACAACTGATCACCCCAAGAAGGGAAGAGGCACAGGGTGGACACATGGGGTGCCCGCACAGGGGCAGAGATCCCCCCATTACCTGGCTGCCGTTGTGCAGCTCGTACTGCAGGTGGTAGAGCAGCGCAAAGTAGGACTTGGGGAGCGGCCAGGAGGCCGGGGGGGCCCAGGCCAGGTGGAGCTGCTCCCCTCGCTGCTGCAGGATCAGCTTCTGGGGCGGCTCAGGACGCACTGTGCACACAGAGGGCTCAGAACAGGGGTGAGACCCCCCACCCAAAACCTCCAGCACCTCTTGGACACCCCCACCCCACTTCTCCTGCCCTGAGCTCACCGATGTCACGCAGGAAGAAATGCCTGGAGAGGTTGAGGTAGGAGGTGTCCGAAAGCCCCTCCAGGTGCAGCTGCAGCGGGCGCAGCTCCTCTCCGAAGGGGCAGAACAAAGTGTCTGCCAAACTGGTGCTGAACTGGTCCTGCTCACTGGTCACCGGTACCCACGGCCCCACGGAGCCATCGCTGTGGGCAGGGAGGTGTGAGCAACCCTCAGGGCAGGGTGGTGGGGGTGCTGGGGTGGGTTTGGGGGGTTCCAGGGCACCCACCTGCGTATGAGGCGGGCACGGAAGATGGCAGAGGGGGGCCCGGGCCAGGAGCAGTGGAAGGAGCCGTTGTAGGACTCGGCCTGGCAGGACACGTTGAGCTCCTCCTCGCCTGGGGGGTTGAGGGATGGTTGGTCAGGGGCTGCATGAGGCCAGGAGTGGGACCCCCTCCCTGCATGGCACTGGTGGGGATCCCCTCGGCCCCACAGCCCTCATGGCCTTGGGCTGGGCATGAGAGTCTCCTGCTCCTCATGGCCATGGGCTGGGTGTGAGAATCTCCTGCTCCTCATGGTCATGAGAATCTCCTGCTCCTCATGGCCATGGGCTGGGCATGAGAATCTCCTGCTCCTCATGGCCATGAGAATCTCCTGCTCCTCATGGCCATGAGAATCTCCTGCTCCTCATGGCCATGAGAATCTCCTGCTCCTCATGGCCATGAGCTGGGCATGAGAATCTCCTGCTCCTCGTGCCCATGAGAATCTCCTGCTCCTCATGCCCATGAGAATCTCCTGCTCCTCATGCCCATGGGCTGGGCATGAGAATCTCCTGCTCCTCATGGCCATGAGAATCTCCTGCTCCTCATGGCCGTGAGAATCTCCTGCTCCTCATGGCCATGAGAACCTCCTGCTCCTCATGGCCATGAGAACCTCCTGCTCCTCATGGCCGTGAGAATCTCCTGCTCCTCATGGCCATGGGCTGGGTGTGAGAATCTCCTGCTCCTCAGCCCCCCACCCCCTGCACCCCATCACCCCCAGCCAGGCCCCTCCGTACGGGTGCTGCTGAGCACCACGTAGGTGGTGTCCAGCAGGTGACCAGGGCCAGCCCAGCAGCTGTAGTTGCCAGTGGCTGGCAGGTCCAAGCCGACGATGGTGAGCTTCTGGCCCTCAGGCACCAGTTCAGCCATGGGTTCCTCATCCCCGTTCAGTGTCCAGTAGATGTGCTGCTCTGAAGTGTCACATCTCACCACCACGTCCTGGTTGAGCTTCCCCACCTGGACTGGAGGTGAGAGGCAGAGCCTGTGGTCAGAAGTGGGTTGTGGTAGGGGAAGATTGTCCCCCAAACCACCATGGGACCGGGTGTCCCTTGGCCTCACAACCTTGTCCCACGCTCCTCACCCTGCTGCACTCCACATCCATCCCCCCACTCCCTCACCCCATTCCCACCCTCTAATCTCCCAGCAGAGCTGTGCAGCCCCTCAGAGGGATGTGGGGTTGGGATGCCCCCCACTCCCCTGCTCCCCCCACCACAGTCTCCCCTATGCCCTGGGAGCAGCACTCACACTTTGGGGGGAAGGCAGTCAGGGATTCTGCAGGCACAAGGAACAGCGCCAGTCCCACCAGCACCAGCATCTGGGAAGGAAAAGAGCAGGGACATCACCCAGCAGAGTGGCACAGCCAGGGCAGAGCCCCCAGCTCTGGCAGCAGCACCCCCCTGAGACCCCCCCAACCCTCCTGGTCTGTGCCTACCTCTGTTTGTGCCTCTGGTGGGCTCGGCAGAGCCGGGGGCTGTGGTCTTATAGTGGGCTGGACTCCACGGGGCTGCCCCAAGGTGCAGTCACAGCAGCATCACAGTTCCCAGAAGTGCAGAATGGGACGCTCAGCCCCTCGCCTCCCACCCACACCACTGCTGGTACTTCCCGGGGCAGGGGGCAGCACACACGCCCTGCCCTGGAATGCCAGAGGATGGGTCCCCCTGGGAACACCCACCGGGCAGCTGGGATGGTTTTGGGTGGTCCCAGCTCTCTTAGAGGGGTCCTGAGCCCCTGCAGCACCTGAGGGGCTGCACATCGCTGTGTGCTGCACAGAGCCCCCACAGTGCCCCTCTATGGGGTGGGGGCACCTCGGAGGTCTATCAGCACCTGTGCCGGGGGTCTGCAGAGGGGCAGCTCGGGGCTGGGCACCTCTGGGTGGGTTCCCAAGGAGAGGGGAGGGTTTCCACAGAGGCTCAGGTTGTCACAGCCCTTCCCTCCCCTCCTCGTGTTGCGTGTCCCACGGGATGCTGTGCAGAGATGAGGACACAGGGACAAAGCTCATCATGGTCACCAGCTGCCCCTTTGCCACCCCACTGATGCCAGCCTGTGTGGGGGGCACGCAGCAGACCCCAGCCGGGTGTGGGGGGTGAGTGCTGCACACTTTCATGTACTTTCTGCAGTTCCTAGAAAGCAAAGGGGAACTGTGGGAGGCTGGGGGAGCCCAGCTCTCACCTTTTGAGGCACTGGGACACCAGAATAGGGCAGCGGGACCTCCAAGGCCCCTCCCTGAGCACAGCCAAGCCCTTGTGCGTGGGCTGTGGGGACCCCCAGGCCCCATGCAGCAGCCCAGCCCTCGGCTGCAGCACTGTGGGGTAGCCCAGCAGGGGAGGGAGGCAGGGATGGGGTGCCTTGCCCGGGGGTGCACCCGTGCCCTGCTCTGTTTGGGGGAAGCAGGCGCCGCCAGCAGATGGTTTGGGGGCCTGCTCGCCCCCACCTCGCCAACCACAGCTTCCTCTTGGCTTCTGCAGAAGAACCACAACCAGGCAGGGGAAGTCCTGATGCAAAGGACAGGGGTGTCCTCAGCACCTCGGCGTGGCTGGCACCCCAAACAGGGGTGGGAGGGGGGAGAGGCCTCACAGCCAGAAACCATCCCTGGGAGATGGGAGGAACAGGGGCAGACCCCACCCTGGCCAAACCCCTCACTGCAGTCATGGACACGAAGCCAGAAGCAAAGGTCACAAAACTTTATACAGGAGGAGGGACCCTGCGTGGCCCCTTAGCCCCGGGTGTGGGGGGAGCGGGACGGGCGATGCCTCCAGCCCCACAGCACCCCGGGGAAAGACGGGGTGAAGGACCCCAGTGGGGAGGGCCCACAACACTCCCCGGGCTGGGGCCAGCACTCCCCAATCCACGCTCTGAGGTGCTGGACTGCTGGCCCACGACTGAGTGTGGCACGGCGCCGAGGCAGTGCCAGGCTGTGCCTGCGCCTGCCAGGGACAGCCCCTGCGGCCACACAGCCCCCCTGGGACCTCCCCGGGGCTCCCCTGTCCCCAGGGTCACGGCCAAGCCCAGGCAGCCCCACCGCGGGGCTCCGGTGCTCCGGCTCACTGCAGGACGCAGACGTCCCCGTGCTCATCCTCGCCTCCGGCCGCCTGTGCCAGCTCCGGCTCTGCCGGTGCCTCCTCTGCCGCCACCACCTTCTCCCGCAGCTCCATCAGCAGGTCCCGGCCCTCGCTGGGCGGCAGATTGCTCAGGTAGTACTGCGGTGCCAACTCCACCAACCTGCGAGGACAGCGCGGGGTCAGCCAGCTACGGGGATGCTCCACAAGGAATGACCCGTCCCTCCCCGTCCATCCCCTCACATCTGGGGCTGGATCTCCGAGACCACGCGCAGGCAGTTGTCCTGAGAGATGCTGAACTCGTGGTAGAGCACCCAGGGGGGCAGGCGGCGCGGGGGCGAGCGCAGCAGGTACCCGCAGGCGGGGGCAAGGTGTGCCACGTGTTTGTGCGTCAGCATCACGTAGTTACCGGAGCCGTCGATGTCTCGGGCGACCTGCGAGGGAGCAGGAGGGAGTGGGGACAGCTGGCACACCCCCACATGTCCCCCACAGCTCCCCACAGCCTCCTGGGCCCACCTTGAGGAAGTAGCCGGAGATGAGGGCGCGCTGGATGTTGAGGGTGTTGGTGTCGGAGCCGAAGGCGGGCGGTGAGACCGGGAGCTCGATGCGGCGCATCACCTCGAGCAGCTCGGCGCGCACGGTGCCCGCCAGGCGCAGCGCCTCGGCACACACGCCGTGCTTGCGGCACCAGCCCTCGTCCCCCCCGTCTGCGGGACGGCAGCGGGGTCAGCGATGGGGGGACAGGGGTGGGACAGCGGGGTCAGTGATGGGGGGACAGGGGTGGGACAGTGGGGTCAGCGATGTGGGGACAGACATGGCACAGTGGGGTCAGTGATGTGGAGACAGGGATGGGATAGTGGGGTCAGTGATGGGGGGACAGGGGTGGGACAGTGGGGTCAGCAATGTGGGGACAGGGGTGGGACAGTGGGGTCAGTGATGAGGGGACAGGGGTGGGATAGTGGGGTCAGATATGTGGGGACAGGGGTGGGACAGTGGGGTCAGTGATGGGGGGACAGGGGTGGGACAGTGGGGTCAGTGATATAGGGACAGGGGTGGGACAGTGGGGTCAGCGAGGGGGGGACAGGGGTGGGACAGTGGGGTCAGCAATGTGGGGACAGACATGGCACAGTGGGGTCAGTGATGGGGGGACAGGGGTGGGATAGTGGGGTCAGCGATGTGGGGACAGGAATGACACAGTGGGTGCCATGATGTGGGGACAGGGGTGGGACAGCAGGGTCAGTGATGGGGGGACAGGGGTGGGACAGTGGGGTCAGTGATGGGGGGACAGGGATGGGATAGTGGGGGCCATGATGTGGGGACAGGGGTGGGACAGTGGGGTCAGTGATGTAGGAACAGTGATAGGACAGTGGGGTCAGCGATGTGGGGACAGGGGTGGGACAGTGGGGGTCGCGATGGGGGGACAGAAGTGGGATAGTGGAGGCCATGATGTGGGGACAGGGGTGGGACAGTGGGGTCAGCGATATGGGGACAGGAGTGGGACAGTAGGGGTCGTGATGGGGGGACAGGGGTGGGGCAGTGGGGTCAGCGATGTGGGGACAGGGGTGGGACAGTGGGGTCAGCGAGGTGGGGACAGGGGTGGGACAGCGGGGTCAGCGAGGTGGGGACAGGGGTGGGAAAGTGGGGGTTATGATGTGGGGACAGGAGTGGCACAGTGGGGACAGGGGTGGGACAGTGGGGTCAGCAATGTGGGGACAGGGGTGGGATAGTGGGGTCAGTGAGGTGGGGACAGGGGTGGGACAGTGGGGGTCATGATGTGGGGACAGGGGTGGGACAGCAGGGTCATGATATGGGGACAGGGGTGGGACAGTGGGGTCAGCGAGGTGGGGACAGGGGTGGGACAGTGGGGTCAGTAATGGGGGGACAGGGGTGGGACAGTGGAGTCAGTGACATGGGGACAGGAATGACACAGTGGGGGTCATGATATCGGGACAGGAGTGGGACAGTGGGGTCAGCAATGTGGGGACAGGGGTGGGACAGTGGGGGTCATGATGTGGGGACAGGGGTGGGACAGTGGGGTCAGTGATGTGGGGACAGAGATGGGATAGTGGGGTCAGTGATGGGGGGACAGGGGTGGGACAGCGGGGTCAGTGATGGGGGGACAGGGATGGGACAGTGGGGTCAGCAATGTGGGGACAGTGGAGTCAGTGACATGAGATACGGTGGGGGCCATGATGTGGTGTCATGGGGATGGGGACAGGCGAGCAGAGAGCCCGCTGGGCTGGGGACTTGGGGAACACAAAAGCACTGCTGCTTCCCCTGTCTCTGACCCCTTCACACAGTGGGGACAGGGGTTGAGCACGGGGCACAGCCCCCAGGCTAGAGCTGAGACCCCCAGATCCTTCCCCAGCCAGGCTGGGCACGAGGATGGGGTCAGGAATGTAGCTCCAGGGCAGGAAACATGAGGGGGTGTGGGACACCAGGAGGAACAGGGGACACAAGGGACACGAAGGGCTCTGTGGGACGCCCACAGGGGTGCAAGCTCCCCACTGCCAGGCCCTGCCCACACTCACGCTGCTGGAAGGCATTGAAGATGTTGATGAGGGTGAAGTGGTCCCCGCTGGGGTGCAGCAGCGCCCGCCGGCGCAGGGCCACGGCCTCCTCCAGGTGCGTGGACAGGGGCACGAAGCAGGGGGATGCTGGGGGTGGGCAGGGGCATCACTGCGTGCCCACAGCACCTCCGTGGCAGTGCTGCTCCCGAGGGCAGCCCCATGCCCCCCACCGTACCTGTGAGCATGGCAGCCAGGCTGACCATCTCCTCCACGCAGTCGAACTCGCAGGAGGCGATGAGGGCCTTGGCCAGCTGCGGGTCCAGCGGGAACTCCGACATGATGATCCCCACCTCCGACAGATTCCCGTCATCATCCAGGGCCGCCAGGTAGTCCAGGTCCTCCAGCGCTTGCATCAGCGACTCGGGGGCTGGGATGGGACATCAGGCAGCTTTGTTCACTCTGTGCTGCACCCACCAGGCCCTCAGTCCCTCCCTAGAGACAACCCAGACCGCAGTGACGGCCACAACCACGGCTGTGACATTGTACCCCTCTGCTCCAGCCCCCCACGCCGTGCCTGGCCCCGGGGGCTCCACCTGGCCGGTCGAGGAAGTCGCACTGGCCCATGTCAGCGATGTCCAGGCGCTTCAGCAGCAGCACCAGGCGGCTCAGGCTGGTCTCACTGACGTGGGGCGCGGGGCTGGGGGGCAGGCGCTGCTCAAACGCCTCCGAGTACAGGCGCAGGCAGGTGCCTGCAGGAGAGAGGCCACCAGCTGGGACAGGGACAGGGTGGGGACAGGTGCCGGGGGGACAGCAGAGCAGGGGTCTCACCTGGGGGGCTGCCAGCAGCTCGCTGCATGCGTGACTCGGCCTGGCTCCGGCTGATGGGCCGCAGCACCTGCGACTCGGCGCGGATGCGGGGGTTGTACACCTGTGGGAGGCTGTGAGTGGGACACTGCGGTGTCGGAACTCAAAATGTCCCTCAGACATTTTCAGAGGTTCCAGGCCTTGGTCAAAAGCATTTTAGACCCTGGCAAGCAGCTGAAAACAGCTGTGATTTTGGGTTTGAACCATGGAATGAATTACCAACTTTGAAGGTGGAACAAGCGGTCACAGAGAGTTCGATGGTATAGTAAAAGTAGTCACAAATTAGAGGGGAAAATTTTTTAGTATTGTACAGGGGGGTTTTAACACCTGTACAGGGGGGTTTGACTTTGTACATGGGGGTCAGGAGTTCTAAGATGGAGGAAAGTGGGCCTGATCCTGTTCTTCCTCCTTCTTCTTCCTTGCCTCCATGTTCTTGGTGATGTTGGCACTCACAGATACACGAGACCCCTGAATCAATCCCGGGGTTCTCACACTGTGGGGCACCCCTGCCACTGCAGAGCCACCGCTGCCACCTCCCTGGGGCAGACCCCTCCTCCCAGCCTGGAACATCACACCCCTCTGCACACCCAGACTGCCACTCACGCCCCGTCCCACTCACGCTGCGCAGCTCCAGCCCCGAGTCGATGACGAAGCGCACGGTGCCCAGCGAGAAGGACGAGTCCCCGAGCCGGTGGGTGACGATGACACGCCGCTCCCGGCTCTCCTCGGGGGTCTCGTAGAGTCGCTGCGCGGCCCGGCCCACACCGGGGTGCAGCGGCAGCACCAGCAGCGGGCCCAGCGCCGGGCTCAGCGCCGCCGCCTCCGTCTGGATGGCAGAGCAGCACTCGGAGATCTCCTGGGTGACAACAAGGGGGCACGGGTGACACTGCTGACACCCACAGCGTCCCCGGAGATCTCCTGGGCGAGGACAAGGGGGCACGGGTGACACTGCTGACACCCACAGCGTCCCCAGAGATCTCCTGGGCGAGGACAAGGGGGCACGGGTGACACTGCTGACAACCCACAGCGTCCCCATTCCCACCTCAGGGTGCTGTGCCATACCCAGCTCAGGGTGCTGTGCCATTCCCAGCTCAGGGTGTTGTGCCATTCCCACCTCAGGGTGCTGTGCCATACCCAGTTCCC